ATTTACCGAGTATGACGACAGGTATATTACATGGTTGCTGATATATGCTTATACTATTGTTATTTTTACTATGGATTCTGCACTGTATGTGGAATACTCAGATGCAGTCCTGTGTGGTGCGTGTGCACAAATAGTTAAACAACCGACAACATTCTGCTATGAATATAAATCTCCAGCATCTCTCAATATTAATTGGACTACAGGCAATAAATCTTTGGATTCAATTATAATAGAATCATGGGGAATGCGAAAAATAAGTATTATGCCTATCTACAATAGTAGAGTATTCCCTATTGACAACGTACAACGGATGTCATTATTACGCCTTCGATGCACACATATAGCATATTAGTTAGATCCGGGAACAAATGACTTGACACAAGTGTCACTCAAGCAGATAGGTGATATTCAGTCATTTGATTTTCATCAGGTAAATTATTTTACATATAAAATAATGCAAATAGTGTAAAGCTTGTTGTACTGGCTGTATTGTTTATTTAAATAGGAATGTCCGACGAGTTACACATATACGAAATTATTTCTAAATTTTGTTTTAAACACCACATTACTGCGCTTATTTTCCACTGCGCAGTTGATCACATTTTGTGTCACTTATTCCAATGTGCCGCGCGAGATAGCAGGAATACATAATGCATCAAAAAGGTCGTTTTATCATTGCTTCTTACCCGACTGATATCTAATGCCCGTTATACAATAGGTTTGATCTGAAAAACAACACAATAGTAGTAATTTTATGTTTATTCATAATCAGGTCTATAAATACAATACGTTGTTGCCATAAACAATTACAATGCAACAACATCACATCAGTATGAAGCATGGTACAAATAATGAATGTGTTTTGCTAGACTATTGTGTAAACCAATTTTTAATCTTTTTTTGTATACTAATTCTTTTTTCCTTTTTATAATAATGTTCAAGGCACTGTTGTGCAGTAGCATTTCCTTGTTCAGCTGCTTTTTTATACAATTCTATTGCCTTTTGTTCATCTTTTTCTATTCCTGTTCCATGCTGATAACAGTAACCAAGATTATATTGTGCTTGAGCATATCCTTGTTCAGCTGCTTTTTTATACAATTCAACTGCCTTTTGAACATCTTTTCTTACTCCAGTTCCATACTGATAAAACTGACCAAGATTATATTGGTTATGAGCATTTCCTTGTTCAGCTGCTTTTTGATACCATTCAACTGCCTTCTGTTCATCTTTTCTTATTCCAATCCCATAGCTATAACAATAACCAAGATTATATTGTGCATCAGCATATCCTTGTTCAGCTGCTCTTATGTACAATTCAACTGCTTTCCTAGTATCTCTTTCAACTCCAATTCCCCTTTCATAACACAAACCCAGCCTATTTTGTGCATCAGCATGTCCTTGTTCAGCTGCTATTTGATACCATCCAACTGCCTTCAGAATATCTCTTCCTACTCCAGTTCCCTTGACATAACACAAACCCAGATTAGTTTGTGCATCAGCATGTCCTTGTTCAGCTGCTTTTTGATACCATTCAACTGCTTTCTGAACATTCATTCCTACTCCAGTTTCATTGGCATAACACAAACCAAGATTATATTGTGCACTAGCATGTCCTTGTTCAGCTGCTTTTAAATACAATTCAACTGCCTTCCAAATATTTATTCCTACTCCAGTTCCATTGGCATAACACAAACCAAGATCATATTGTGCACCAGCATTTCCTTGTTCAGCTGCTTTTTTATACCATTCAACTGCTTTCTGATTATCTTTTTCTACTCCAACTCCATTGAAGTAGCAATAACCAATATTATATTGTGCATCAGCATGTCCTTGTTCAGCTGATTTTTGATATAATTCAACTGCTTTCTGTATATCTCTTCCTATTACAATTCCATAATTATAAAAGCGACCAAGATTATATTGTGCATCAGCATGTCTTTGTTCAGCTGCTTTTTGATACAATTCAACTGCTGTTTGAATATTTTTTTCTACACCAGTTCCATTTGCATAACACAAACCAAGATTACATTGTGCACTAGCATTTCCTTGCTCTGCTGCCTTTTGATACCATTCAAGTGCCTTTTGTTTATCTTTTCTTACCCCAATTCCATTTTCATAGCAAATACCAAGATTATACTGTGCAAAAGCATGATCTTTCTTTGCTGATAGTTGATAACAATAGATTGCTTGATTAATATCCATCTCAACTGTTATACCACATGCATAGAAAAGACCAATCAACCAAAGACACTGCCCACAGTCTATATGCTCTCTGAGTCTCATTATGGGACTATGTTGAGAAGACTCATTTAGTGTTAACCAACATTTGATTTGATCAGCAATTTGCTCTTGAGCACTTCCTTTCAAACATTCTTCCTGATAAATATTTGATAACTTATCAGAAAGTGAATGTTCTAAAACTGTTTGCTGATACATATTTGTCAACTTGACTGTGGAATGATGTTTTGTGGTTGTTATTTTTTGAGCTATTATAGTTAATTGGTCAAAAATCTGCTCACATGACGGTCTTTTCTCTGCATCATCATCCCAACATTCTGAATACAATGTGATGTATTCTTCTGGAGTTTCTGAGACAGAAGCATCTCGCTTACCATCCAGTCTATAAGTTATGATGTCATTATCATACAGGAGCCCATCACATGGCTTTCTTCTGCTAGAGATTTCCCATAATACTACTCCAAGACTAAATATATCTGACTTTTCATCACGCTCAGTATCTCTGTCATATATGCATCTGGGGTCAAGAAATGCAAGACTTCCTTTACCGTTTAAATAAATTTTTTGTTGTAAGGTCAAGTCAGACAAGCCAAAGTCTGTTATCTTCGCCACACCGGCATGAGTCAATAATATATTATGAGAAGACTAAATAATAAAGTCATCAAATGTTATATGAAGGTAATGTATAATATTATGAAATTATATTATTACGTATTTATAATTACCAGATTTTTATGTAGAATGTTGCGCTCGTGAAGATAATCCAAGCCGCTAGCAATATCGATACCATGCTTGCATCTCGTAGGCCAATCCAGTTCGATAGATGGGCCCGACAAGTAACATCGCAATGAACCACTGTCAGCATACTCGAAAACCATTATATATCTATTGAGTGTATCTATTAATAAAGTCTCCGTTAATGTCATGTCATATCAATGCCGTGCAATTTCTCAGTACTTACCCTTACTTACTCCGAGGAATCGAACAATGTTGGGGTGATCATCAACCTTGCGATGGATTTTCATCTAAACGTATCGGTTGGATAACTTGAGTAAAGCAATAATATCCGAATATAGTCGTCGTTATAATTCACCAACCTCACTAACAAAGTTTCCGATCATCTCATTTTCATTGTGCGAAGCGAGAACCTTGTATGCGACCGTTTTCCTAAGTTTCTTCAATTTTGCTTTGAAAACTGCTCCATATGCTCCGCCACCGATGCGTGCGATGTCAGCAAAGTCTTCGAAAGAATAAAACCGTACAATTTCATCTTCAATATTCTTCATTAACCATTCCTTATCAGTAGGAAGTGAGTCCATGTTTGCTGCTGATATTATCTGTTATCAAAATTGAGTAATATGAATATATTTCACTAGTCGAGGTGCTCATCGCCCGCCACCAAATGTGTCTTTGTTACACGGTCTTTATTGTATCGATTAAAATGGGTTCATAATAAAATGTCTCTTTCATAACAGGTTTGAAGCTAGGTATTGCGATCAAAATAAAAGAATGACAAGGACTTTGATTGAACAGTGTAAGAGGACCTACATTTATTATCTCGCACAAACTAAAATATGGGCGGGGTCTTTATTTTTGTAAAACAGTCTGAGCAAAACAAATAAGTAATCATACTTTGCATTTTGATAATGGTGACTGCTTGTCTTATAGATTGTGTTAAACAAAAAGAGTCATCTGACAGACATATACAAGTGTGAAATAGAACCCTAAAGAAAGTGTGCATCAATAAGAAGAGATATCTAAATTTACTAAGGTAATAAACCAAATTAAACCATATTTAATATCATGACTAGGGTATATATATATATATATAGCACTCAATGCTGGTGTGTAATTATACTGGAAAACCTAATCTTACCAAAAATTGATAAAGAAATTCGCCTGAGTAAACTGCCTGGTTTAGGTACTTGTTTTGCAATAGAATCCAGTCACTTTCATGTTGCCAAGTATCTTCAAACTTAAGCTGTTGTAATTTTGGTAAGTCTGCCTCAATCAGTCCTCCTGTGTATATCCAACTTCTTTATGCAGATGCTTGTCAATTGATTAAACTTAATATTAATTGGTTTAGTGTTTAAATCATCTGGATAAAGATCACTGCTTTCCAAAACAATCGATTCCAGAGAATTTGATTGTGACTCCAACAATTTAAATCGTGAACCTATCTTGATTATAACATATTGCATAGTAATTGTCTTTAGTTGATGTTGAGACTATGAGTTTTTGCACAGTTGCGATACATTCTCCAGAGAATCAATGTCAGTAAAGCATTCAATAAATGTGGTCGTGGCCCACAAGTATTGAAGGGCTACTATACACCAGTTTCTGTTAACTGATATACAGGAGTAAAAGGCAGAGCGATCGTCTGCATATTCGTCGAATATTATTCTAAAAAGCTCGTAAGGCAACGGGGAGCGATAGTGTCGGTTGCGTAAATTGTTCCCTTATGATGAGCATTCTACGCAGTAAAATTTAACCAATAGATTTCCTGCATTTACCCGTCCTGATTGGTCACTATATCGAGAATTAACTTACATACCGATACGACAACTAAGCAATATAAAATTTTCGTTCTAAGATTTCTGTCGTTATAACGAGATGTCGTTATATAGCAGTGTCGTTATATCGAGACTCACTTGTATAATGAATGGCAGATAATCTTTATTATTGGGGCTTCGCGCTTGTGGCTGCTAAGAAGTGCTTTTTGTGAATAGTTTAGTTTCATAGTTAGTATGAAATAGATATTATCACTCTTTATAGTCGAAAGTAATTGCCTTTCCCGAGGTTTTATCGGGCTTTTCTGTTTTTAAGATTCCTGGTCGCTCGGATATCGTTTCCAGAGAAGTACTGTGTGGCTTGGATGGACTGAAGGTTATGATTACGCCGATCGCTTCGTTGTATGGTCTCTTAACGGTCAGTCGTTGTGAATGGTCGATCGTTGCGTTGTTGTCTATGAAATAGTCGGTTTCGTCTCTATGGTCGCTGAATTCCATGCATGGAATGGTCGGTTCTTTTCCATAAGAATAGTCAGTCGCTGCGCTGCGTTGTTTTTCCCACGGAATCCCCACCATAAATGTTGTACGAGCGGTGTTGTTGTAATTATTATTAGGTATAATCGTATTATTGAGAACGTTGCTGGGATTTCATCAATAATCGTTCGTACAACTGATTAAGCTCTCGGTAAACTTTAATAATTCCGAAAGCTAGAGATTACCAGACTGAATTTCTACCATTAGAGAAGACATTAGATCATAGTGAACGCCAGTTGAATATTTCCAATCGTAAGTTTATTAGTTGTTTTCCACGTATTCATTCGATCCTATGTATTATTCCACCGTAAGAATTATTCCATTATTCCGTTTGAGTGTTCGACCAAAATCCTAAGTGGAAAAGGTGCTATTCGAACTTTGGTTGTTTATATATCTAAATTGCTACTTACTGCGGTATAGTTATTCTAAAATCTAAATGGTCCATATGCATAGCTATTTGCTATGCTAAAAATATTGATTCACGATATTTACATGTTTGTGTAATACATTTAAGTGATTATCTGACGTACTAATAATATTAATCATAAATCGCTATTTAAATAACAATATGACAATGATATAAACTCCCCCGAAAGATCTGCCAGAAAATTACGATAAATGGGTATTTGTTGGTTAATGCGGAAAAATGAAGAACATGAAGAGCGAATGAATATCAATACTATGTGAAACTCATGCAGCAAATGATGGCGATGGAAATGTACTTTATGTTAACTAGATAATCGATGGTGTGGCCGCCCGATTACATCGGCCGGCCTTTTCAAATTGCAAGTTGTTTTTCAGTTTAATAACAGTTCAAGATTAGATTATATTATGAAATAGATTAAAAAAGCTGTAAATTTATTGTATTAAGCGAAAGTTTATAAAATAGGAAGCGGGTTAGATGCACATTGCCATTTTTTTTAGCCGAGATATTCGTCAACTATTCTTGAATCTACCATAAATGCGTTTCTATTGACTCATAATACGACAGTTGGGACATCTACTAATGGCAACGTAAGCTTGACCTGGTGAAAATAACTGACTAAGGTCTAAAGAAATAGTAGGCAAAGTAAGACTTTGAGTCTTATGTACAGTCAAAGAAAATGCATTCTACAATGGAAATTGCGTTCGTGGAGCCCGCTGACCGTCTATATAGAAATAGGACGTCTCTCTGTATAGCGCCTTGGATACAAAAAGCAATTTGAATACTTGGTATATTTTTGTTGAGATCTGTACATATTTCATCTTCAATAAGCGAGTTGTTTAAATACATGACGCGTGCAGCTTGTTGAAGTCAGATAGTGGGCGGCATGTTAGTTTTTGATTTAAATTCTGTCTGAGAATTTTCAGGTTGTAGTCGTTTCCCTTCCGTGAAGTCTGTGGCTTCAGCTAGCAGATATTTATCACCGTTGACAGGAAGTATGTTACAGATCGTTCGATTGATTTGATCTGTGGTTTTACGATAGCCTACATTATGCGTTGTCGTTAACAGCCAATCGGAAGTCAGATTGGCGTCATAGTTTGCTGCTTTTTGGTCCATGAACTATCTGATATTTTTCCAAATCTGATTTCTTCTAACATTTGATAAAATTGTTGGTCATCGTATTGCCTTTGAGTTCATGCAAGAACAAAGGGTAGAACAAGTGCCATACTGATGAATAAAATACGTATCACCTCTTACTGGACAAGTATTACATTGATGCCGCCAAATGCAATGTCAGAGTTATGAATTCTAGCAAACATATTGGAAAGAAAATCAAGGAGTAATGCAGACACCATGGACACTTTTTCGATTATTGGCATTTGAATATTTTTTTAAAGTCAGGATCATGGAAAGCCAGTGTATGGTATGCAGTTTCTGACTGTGATAATTGTAGAGCAGAGTGTAAGGTAAGGTAGTCCTTCCCTCGTGGTAACATTTGCGTTTCTGGTCTAGAGTGTCTTTTCTCTGCAGTAACATTTGCGTTTTCGGCTTATAGCAGATGATAATAAAATAGATCTGAACATAACTCTCTTTGTAATCCTTCAATGTATGGAATACCCTTTCACTGAGTTCTTTGGGTGAATGTTAAAAAATCTTATATGAGGCACACATTCTGCTGTTATGCACAGTAACATCAATAAATGACCAATTGGTTGGATTGTCTAAATGTCTGGAAATTTAGTTAATAGTCCATTGTACAACTAACAACCCAACCAATATCAGCTTCATCCATATTAAGCTCATCATTCTTGAGAAGACTAATAAAGGTTGCTTTTTGGTAAATCCACCATATTACTGGACTGAGGGTGATATCTGGAGATAATAACATAAGCTGATTAATAATCTCCAAGTTTCTGTATGTAGTGAGTCAGTGGACAATCTTAGTTATGTTGTGTCTGAGTTTGAGACCTGTCTCAGTTCAGAACTGACCCAGTCACTCAGTCCAGAACCCAGTCATCTCAGTCCAGAACCCAGACACTCAGTTGGAACTGAGACAGGTCCCCAACTGAGGTACAACAGTTATAAAACTGTGAGAATGTTTTGTTCTATCCATTTCTCATGTTGTTCAATCAAATGATAGTACAGAAAGTGCTTAACCCAAGCTTATTAGCTCTTTTTAAAAGAACAAACCAAGATACATTCTTGCAGGATTGGTGCAGACCAGACAATCCAAAATTTGTTCTGATCAATCACATGACATTTACTCAATAAAATTCTCTGAAATCATAATGCCAAATTACAACACTTTGTCTACTTCCAGCTCAGAATCACTTCCCCGATCACTTATCTCATCGTTTTCCCAAAGTTTTTTAGTTGATGAATCTCGCATTAATTCAAATGTGCTTGATTCTGTACCAATCATCTTTTTTAATAAATTTGTCTCTCGAAATACTTGTTTATGTGCAGTTTTTCTTTTCAAGGCAAGTAAAACAATAAAGAATGGAATGTTGCCAATAATAATAATAATAACACAAGAACTAAACCTATTGCTTTATTATTATTGGATAATGGAATGTTACACAAACTTGACATAAAATTTCAAGAAACCAATAAAGATCTTACATTAAAAAAAAAATTTCAAGAAACTTAAGAAAACTGTTGCTTTTCAAAACTCGAAATTTTTTTAGTTTATTAAAATTTTAAACCATAACTTTTATTCTGCTTCATCTGCTCTATCATTCTTACAGATTAGTTTTTCTCTAAACCCTCTAATATAAAAGCCTTAGGGTTTTGAAAGTTGGGTATTTTATTTCGGGCTTATAGATGTCCTACACCATACAAATGTTGTGAGACACGGTATAAATGACTAAGTAATAGATGGTTCTAGCAATAATACAATATGCGGATGTATTAAAAATAAACAATTACATCCATTGTTGACAAAAAGATTGAGTCGATGATGTAGGCTGAGCATGGGGTTTTGAATTATTGTCATTGTTGGTAGTTGGGAGTGCAGATTTATCCGGAGTTTCTATAAAGGAGCTGTATAATAACGTACTTTTTTCAGATGCGCGTAGGGAGGGGAGTAAACTTCGAGATAAACGTGAATTTTCTCGCTAAATTGACCGTGGAGAACTCCAAATTATTTATTATAATAAAAACTCCACGGATCAAATATATTTTAGGGAAACTATCCCTACGGGCGTAGTGAATTAGAAAAGTTGATTAAAGACAATCTAGCTGATAGGGGAATGGTTGTGCTAAAGATGGCCTATACCAAAATCAAATCAGAACCTCAATTAAGGACAAGCCATTCGTCTTAAGTTTCTGTTTTGATTTGTAAAACACATATTACGATAGTAATAGTAATGTGCAACAGTCAGAATAATATATATAATCACAAATAATTTACAAGATAAACTTATAAAGGACTTTCCCATTACAACATGACTGATCTATAACTTTTCATTGTTAGATAGGTCTGATCTAAGAAGCAATAGAACTGTACAGCTACCATCATATATCTAATATCAACTAATATAATCCGATAATAATAGTAAATTTACATACATTTCAAAATTACAAAATAGACAGTGCAGCAATGTTACCAAATACTAATTTCTGCATGAAATATAATGTGTTTTACTAGCTATGTGAACCAATGTTTAATCGTTTTCCCTATACCTTTTTTGTTTTTATAATAGTCTTCAAGGTAGCTCTGTACAGCAGGATTAGTATAACCTTGTTTAGCTGCTTTTTGATATAATTCAACAGCCTTTTGTCTATTTTTTTCTACTCCATTTCCAAGTCGATAGCAATGACCAAGATTATATTGTGCATAGGCATCTCCCTGCTCAACTGCTTTTTTATACAATTCTACTGCTTTTTGAAGATCCTTTTTTACTCCAATTCCCTGCTGATAACAATAACCAAGATTATTTTGTGCATAAGCATTGCCTTGTTCAACTGCTTTTTTATACAGTTCTATTGCCCTTTGTTCATTTTTTGCTACACCATTTCCACTTTCATAACACATACCAAGATGATTTTGTGCTTGAGCATTTCCTTGTTCAGCTGCCTTTTTATATAATTTGACTGCTTTTTGTCTATCCTTCTTTACATAATAATAATAGTTGGCAAGAGTATTCTGTGCATTAGCATACCCTTGTTCAGCTGCCTTTTGATATAATTCTACTGCTTTTTGAAGATCCTTTTTTACTCCAATTCCATTTCCATAACATAAACCAAGATTATCTTGTGCTACAGCATATCCTTGCTCAGCTGCATTTTTATACAATTCTACTGCCTTTTGTCCATCTTTTTCTACTCCAATTCCATTGTCATAACAGTAACCAAGATTACATTGGGCTTGAGCATTTCCTTGTTTAGCAGCTTTTTTATACAATTCTACTGCCTTTTGTTCATCTTTTCTTACTCCAGCTCCATATTGATAACACCAACCAAGGTTATTTTGTGCCATGACATTTTCTTGTGTAGCAGCTTTTTTATACAACTCCACTGCTTTTTGTTCATCTTTTCTTACTCCAGCTCCATACTGATAACACCAACCAAGATTACTTTGTGCATAGGCATTTTTTTGTTCAGTTGCCTTTTTATACAATTCTACTGCCTTCTTAACATCTTTTTCCATTCCTATTCCATGCTGATAGCAACAACCAAGACTATTTTGTGCAGCAACAATTCCCTGCTCAACTGCTTTTTTATACAATTCTACTGCCTTTTGTTCATGTTTTCCTACTCCAATTCCATGCTCATAGCAACGACCAAGATTATATTGTGCAAAAGCATTTTCCTGTTCAACAGCTTTTTTAAACAATTTAATTGCCCTTTTAACATCTTTATCTACTCCAATTCCATCTTCATAGAAAAGACCAAGACTATATTGTGCAAAAGCATTATCTTTTTCTGCTGACAGTTGATACCAATAGATTGCCTGTTTAACATCCTTCTCAACTGCTATTCCATATGCATAAAAAAATCCAATTAACCAAAAACATTGCTCACAATTTATATGGTCTCTAAGCCTTGTCATTGGACTACTATATTGAGAGAATTCATCATGTGTCAACCAATCTTTAATGTGATTAGCAATCTGCTCCTGAGTTCTTCCTTTCAATAGTTCTTCTTGATAAATGCCTGACAACCTGTCAGAAAATGGATGTTCTGAAGTTGGTATTTTTTGAAGTATCACACTTAATAGGTCAAAAATCTCCTCACATGACGGCCTTTTTTCTGCATTATCGTCCCAACATTCTGAATATAGCATGATATATCCTTCTGGAGTTCCTGAGAGTGGAGCATCTCGCTTACCATTAATTCTATAAGTTATGATGCCATTGTCATACTGGAGCCCATCACATGGAATTCTTCTGCTAGATATTTCCCATAATACCACTCCTAGACTAAATATATCAGACCTTTTATCACGCTTGGTATCACTACTATATATGCATCTGGAGTCAAGATATGCAAGACTTCCTTTACCATTTAAATAATTATTTTGTTGTGAGGTCAAATCAGACAAACCAAAGTCTGTTAGCTTTGCCATACCGGCATGAATCATTATATTATGAGAAGACTAAATATAAAAACATTACTATTAATATAGAAGTACTGTATAATATTATAAAAATTTCTACATTGTTGCATATTTATAATTACCAGATTTTTATGTAAAATGTTGTGCTCGTGAAGATAAGTCAGGCCGTTAACAATATTGATACCAAGCTTGCATCTCGTAGGCCAATCCAGTTCGATAGATGGATCCGACAAATGACATCGCAATGAACCACTATCAGCATACTTGAGAACCATTATATATCTATTGAGTGTATCTTTCAGAGGTCTCCATTAATGTTATATCCTAATTGTGCCTTGTGATTTCTCAATGCTCACCCTTGCTCACTCCAAGGAATCGAACGATGTTGGGGTGATCATCAACCTTGCGATGGTTCTTTATCTAAGTATCGGTTGAATAATTTAAGTAAAAGCAATAATTTATCCGAAGATTAAATAATCATTATAATTCACCTACCTCCTTGACAAAGTTTTCGATCTCATCTTCATTGTGCGAGGAAAGAGTCTTGTATGCGACCGTTCTACCAATAGTCTTTAATTTTGCTTTGAAAACTGCTCCATATCCTCCGCCACCGATGTATATGATGTCATTAAAGTCTTCGAAAGAATAAAACCGTATGCTTTCATCTTCAATATTCTTCATTAACCATTCCTTATCAGCATTAATTGAGGCCATGTTTGCTGCTGTTACGTACGTATTATACCGTTATCAAGGTTGAGCAGTGAATATGAATATATCCAATGCAATGAATTTTTACGAGTGGCGCACATTTGCGGCAGTCCTATTATTACTCATCACTGTTGGTCGATTGTGCTTATCCCCACCAAATATGGTTTCCAAAGTTACACGCAGTCTTCATTGTATCGATTAAAATGGGTTTGTCATCTCTTTTATGTGTGTGCAACGTTTCTTTCAATTGTTAATAAGTTAAACTCTAAGCATTAATCTCTTCGTCTGTTCTATCATGAGCTGGTGTATGTAGCTGATTCGTGACATCAGTAAAGAAGAAATATTCGTTGGTAAACCGATAGTATACCTACTAGGACGGGGGCGTCACAGAATTCGAGTTGGTGCTGACCTTTATTTTGGGTCTATTACTGTGGTGAATAATTGGGTGGTGTCTTTTTTTTAAACTAACAATGTCACAAATCGCAAGACTTGTCACACAGCGCAAATTATTTAATTCTTTCTATTGAAACTACTACGCTACGGTGAAACTTCTACTACCGCGCTAATAAAAGAGTTAAAGCATTACCGCAGTACCAAGATTCAAGAATGTCCATCAGTAAAAAAAATTGACAATCTGCTCTGCAAGCTGATAAGCAATGCGGCTCTGTTTGTACTTATACCTACAACGGTTGACCAACAAAAATTACATTTATAAGTTTCGAATATAACTTTCCTTTACCTTGGATATTATATTTTCTTAGTTAAAATCTCCTTATCTTCTTTAACTTTAACATCACTATAAAAACATATCTTCCTGTGAGCCTCAGAAACTTTGTAACGGACATTTCAAAAAGCTTATTTTGAGGTTTGAGTTTGCTGGATAAAATTGTTAGTAGAACACAATTTTTTCACATTTGTCTATTTAAATCTTAACAGAATACAGTATGAAAATGCAGGGAACTTAGAGTGAGGTCAACTATTTTATTGCTGTTACAAAGTAAACAGTCTTACATTTACAATATTATATCGTCTACCCGCTAACCATATCTGTCATTATTTATTACCGTATAGTAAATTTTGCCTTCATCACTTGATGCTCGATCTTAACCTGATATGTCGATTCTATATTTTCATTCGCCGTTTGCGAGCATCTTTTCCCAAATTAATATTTTGGACTAACCTTTCTATTACCTTCTGGTAAGTTTTTATGGAAATTTTATGCGACCAACTTTATATACATATATTATATCGTACCTTCACTCTTCGTACACATATAACCAAAAGACTAAATGTGCCGCAGCATTTTGTTGTTTATTGGCTTGGCCAAAAAATAGTAAATAAGATAAATTATAATCGAAAAAGGGAGGCAATGCTAATCTGTAACAATAATCGAACAATGAGTGCATATTGATAACGATTCGCTATGGTCAAATAGTTATGAAATTTGGAAATGCTTTGTGGCTGTAACCTATTATTCCATAATCAAACTTTGTACAACTCTAATTTACTCACGTGTAAATATGAACAACAAAAACGTCATATGAAAGAATATGTCGCATTTATATTCCAGATGATAGTTAATATTGCTTACCTCTCCAACCACATTTATAGCATTAACTCTATATAGAAATAAATAAAAATATACGTCACGTTCACAAACATTACAAACTTTATAGCGTAAACTGAAAAAACTATACGCCACTTTTTTTCCAAATTACTATCAGTAGACGTAAAAACCAAACAAACTAATGCATCATTGCATTAGGGGAGGAATATTAATTTAGAAAAATTTCCAACTCAAGAAAAACAATATAAAATAAACAGCATGTTATTATAAAATTTCTAATAAAAACAACTTTGCCTTTATCTATAGCACCATAACGACTCTTGACATAAAAACCAATGAAACCCATACTGCACCTTGCCTTCCCCCTACATTAGAATCGTCGGTGATATACGTAAAAATGAACTAATTAATATACATTATCTCTATATATCGTTATAATATAACTTTGGCCAGCTACCTTCCCTATAAGAACCGCTTCAAAATTAGCC